GAATTTATCACACAATCTTTTCACTGGAAGGATCCCAGAAAACATCGGCAACATGAGAATGTTAGAATCAATTGATTTCTCTGAGAACAAATTGTTTGGTTCAATTCCGGAAAGCATGTCGACCTTGACGTTTTTGAGTTTCTTGAACTTGTCCAATAACCGATTAATTGGGCGAATTCCTTCAAGTACTCAGTTGCAGAGCTTCAATGCGTCCATCTATGCTGGAAACAAACTCTGCGGCCTTCCACTACCCAACAAGTGCGGTGTTGATGGAAATCCTGTACCTAGCATTCAAAATAGAGGTGGCAAAGAATGGAATGGAGTTGAAATAAGTTGGTTGTTGGTGAGCATAGCAGTTGGATTTATTATGGGATTTTGGAGTGTACTAGGTCCTCTAGTGATTAGCAGGCAATGGCGATGCGTGTATTATCAATTTCTTGAAGAAATGTGGTTGAAAATCAGTAATTCTGTAAACAGACACTTCTAAAGTTTATTATATTTCTCTTATGAGTGTATTAGTTTTGAATTGTAAAGCATCATATCATTTCTTCTAAGTTGTGTTGTGTAATAAGTTCACACATTTCATCAATGGAATATATGTTCTGGTTTTCCCTCACAAAAGTTGGTTATTGATCTATTGCTTGCACATGCCCTTTTCTTTTTCTTGGCTGGTTACTGCAACAAATCAACTTGAATAATTTCGCGGGTCCAAAAGAGATTTCTATCACAGATCTTTGGTGAAGGCTGTATCACCATTCACAATTTTCATGACTTCAAAACGACGAAAAAGAGTCTGTGGAAGATGTTCGACAAAGGAATCTAATCAACTCCGCCATGCAATTATTATTATTATTTATTTATTTTGGGAGAACTTCTCTGCAATTTGTTAAACGTTGCGTTTTAGTGCCAAGTATGTGTCGGAAACGTTGCCGTTTTAAAAACATAATCCATATACTACTTGTGTTTCTCTGCTCCATTGGAACTTCCATGTCCAACGAATGATAACGGCGTTCGATGGGCATGGCGACAATTCCTTTGAATTTCCAGCATTTCCGAAACCCTAGAGTAAGAAAACCTTATCTTAATCGACGGGCATGGTGATAATTCTTTCCCTTTTGAAGTTTTAATGTTTGCAATATAAATAATTGAAGTAATTTTTTTTAAGATCTGGAGACATCTGTTTCTGATCCAAATGACAATGCATTGTTCTTGAAAGAGGCTAAGATTACTATAGAATCTTCAAGCCAAAATAACATATTGGTGAAATAAAAGATTAGTTGTGCATTAGGTCAAGTCCTCGTGGCTTGGCTCAGTATGTCAATCACATCTATGTCGATTGGAAACTTAAAAGACTGGTTTTAGCTTATTGCATTTGTCTTTGGCACTTTAAGCTTATTTGAAATTAAGACGTTAAGAAACTAATATGAGCTCTATAGTTTTTGGCAGAAGCTAATTTCACTTATTTAGTATAATTTCAAGGATGGTAAATTTACTATGATTCTATTGGGTTTTCCTTTTACCTTTTTAATTTGCATGTATCTGTTTTTACTTTATCAAATTTTCTGTGATCTTTGATTAACAGGTAAGAGTGGACTTGATTGCCAGTGAAATGCAAAAGGTACTCGATAAGATTTTTGCAGATTTAGCATGAATGGCAACACCAGTTCATCAAAGATTTAGTAGACAGAAAGGAGGTAATTAGTTGAAGTTACATCAAATTCATTTTATGTCGCCATCTAGTGACCAAATTCAATACTTAATTATGTTCCTCCTTGTTAGTGACAATGTTATCATTCTGATTATTTATTTTTTCAAGTTCTAACTCATAAAGCGAATAATTTTCTATATGAAATTATGAGTCCTTGTTGATATAAATATTGGACTTACTGGAAACTTAGTATCATGCATCTTGCTGCATTCTTTCTTTGAAATATCATTATCTATTTAACTAGTTCCTGCTAATATCCTCTGTTCATAAATTTGTCATCCATGCAGATGAACTTATCCAGCACAAATTCTGTTCTGACCATATTTATTTTGCACGTCTATTGAGCTAATGCAGGGAAAACATCAAAGGTGAGTGGCTTGTCCTGAGTTTTGGATAACGTTATCAATCCTTTAATCTTTAGTTAAGTCCTGTTTCATTTATCTTTCAATTGAGTTCACTCCTCAACTTATGGTATAAAGAAAATATCATAATTGCGAGGTGTGTGTCTGTGGAAAATTTTCATTCTCCATATCTTGCAGTTTGGAACTTGGATTTGTCTGCAATTGACAGATAAATTGTGCTGTCATTTCAGAACATTCTTGTTTATAGCATCTAAATCCTTTATTGTTAGCTCCATCTAGATTTTATAGTATGTAGCGACTAGGAATTTAATCCTAGACTTGTGGCTAAGAGCACAGGCTACTCTACTACCAAACCACATGGTTGATGGTAGTACTAGCTAGATTTTAAGTATATAGAGAAGTTTATTAAATTTTGAGAAATTTTAATGGTTATGTTTATATTGTGAAAGGTGTGCAAAGTCCTGAAGTATCATAATTTTTCTTGCAGGCTCAAATTCCATACTTTTAATTGACATGTAATTTCAAAAAAATAAAAAATAAAGGAACAAGGATGAATAGCAAGTCCCACCTTACTCCTTTATCATGGATCTATTATCTATTGCTTGGTAACTTACTCTTTACCCTAATTATTACACATATAATATATCTTTTTTTTTTGGGACATATCCCAGATGAGTTGTGTTCACACAATTCTCTCCAATTTCTAGACCTTTCTCACAACAATCTCTTTGTAAGCTTGCCAATATGTACTGGTAACGTAAGTGTCTTGCTTAATGAGCAACCATTCTCAAGAGTTCAAATTTGGCTTCCTCTTTTCTATTGACGGTATTTTTCATGTAGCTTATCTTGAGAATGCATTTGTTTTGATAAAAAAATCAGTTGCTTGAATATGACAAGATACTTCACTTGCTGAAAATCATGGATTTTTTCAGTAACAATTTATCAGGGAGATTCCCTTAGGAATAACTAATCTCCAAGGGTTGCAATCAATGAATTTATCACACAATCTTTGCACTAGAAGGATCCTAGAAAACATCAGCACGAGAATGCTAGAATCAACTGATTTCTCAAGGAACAAATTGTTTGGTTCAATTCTAGAAAGCATGTCGAGTTTGCTGTTTTTGAGTTACTTGAGCTTGTCCAATAACCAATTCAGTGGGTGAATTCCTTCAAGTACTCAGTTGTAAAATTTTTATGCATCTAGCTATGCTGGAAACGACCTTTGCAGCCTTCCACTACCAGATATACCTAGCATCCAAAACAGAGGTGAAAAAGATGGACTGGAGTTGAAATAAATTGGTTGTTTGTGAGGATGACACTTGGATTTATTGTGGGATTTTGGAGTGTGCTAAGTCCTCTGGTGATTAGGAGATGGTGATGCACGTATTTTCAATTTCTTGAGGAAATGTGGTGTAAAATCCTGTAAACAAATGTTTCTAAAGTTTAACGTGTTTCTTTTATAAATGTGTTAGTCTTGAATTATTAAGTATCATATCATTTCCTCTAAGTTGTATTGTGTAATAAAGTTTCCATTTCATCAGTGGAACATATATTGTCGATTTCCCTCATCAAAGTTAATTACTGATCTAGCATCAATTGCTTGCATGCATAAGCCTTTTTTCTTGTTGCTGCAACGAATCAAATTGAATAATTTTGCATGTTAAGAAGAGATTTCTTTTACAGATCCTTGGGGAAGACTGGCACACCATTCACTAATTTCATGGCCTCAAAACAGAAAAAAAAAAAAAAAAAAAAAAAAAGACCTTTGCATTCTACATGAACTATAGTCCGTAGAAGATGTTGGACAAAGGAATGGAGAAATTCATGTAGCTGTGTAGAATGGGGTATGGAAAAAGGCATGTTTAGGCCATATTGGAGCTGTTGGGGAAATTGATGGTAGGCGCCTATCCAATGGGTTATGGAAAAAGCATGTTTGGGTCACTTTCTGATCTGATGACAATGCATATTTATTATCTCATCTTCCTAGATGGTTTGAAGTAATATAATGTTCTTATATATCTTCTATATATTCTCCGCAATCAGTACTTAGAGCTGTAAAAATCTTAACTTCTAAATCAACTTTTTAAACATAATATTGAATATTAACTTTGTTGTTTACACTCTTATTTTTATTTATTTATTTATTTTTCAAATAACTGCATGGCGTGGGGCGTGCACCTC